CCTCCCCCTCCTCCTTCTCCCCCTCCTCCTCCTCCTCCTCTTCTTCTTCGTCTTCTTATTATTATTCTTCTTATTCGTCTTATTATTATTCTTATTATTGTTATTCGTCTTCGTATTATTATTATTATTCGTATGCTTATTCGTATTATGTTTCGTATGTTTCGTAGGTTTCGTATTATTCGTCTTATCATTCTTAGTATTAGTATTCGTATTATTATTTGTCTTAGTATTATCAATAGTCGTTTTCTTCTTAGTAGTATTAGTATTATCAGTATTAGTGTTATTCGTCTTATTCGTCTGCTTAGTATTCTTATTATTCTTATTCTTATTATTCTTATTATTCGTCTTATTCTTCTCATTATTATTAGTATTAGTAGTATTAGTAGTATTATTAGTAGTCGTAGTATTATTAGTAGTATTAGTTGTATTATTCGTATCATCATTATTATTATTAATAATATTATTATTATTATGATTATTAGTATTATTACTATCATCATCATCAGTATTATTATTATTAGTATTATTATTATTATCATTATTATTATTATTATTATTATTATTAATAATATTATTAGTATTACTATTAGTATTATTATTATAATGATTATTATTATTATTATTATTCCTCTTCTTCTTCCTCCTCCCCCTCCCCCTCACCCCTCCCCCTACCCCTCCCCCCCCCCTCCCCTCCCTCCCCTCCCACCCTCCCCCCTCCCCCTCCTCCTCCCCCCTCCTCCTCCTCCTCCTCCTCCTCTCCTCCTCCTCCTCCTCCTCCTCCTCCTCCTCCTCCTCCTCCTCCTCCTCCTCCAGGTCACCTACCTTCGGGCATCGCGCCCCGCGGTGCGCGGTTATCTGCGCGCCTCCCGCGCCTCCGCCCGTCGACTACACGCAAGAGTGACCCCAGGCACGAGTGACCTTGGGTGCGCGGCTGCAGGGGGCCGCGGGCAGGCCAAACCCAGGCGCGCAGGCCAGGTGTCGGCTGTGCCCCCGTGAGCCCGCACCACAAGCCGCTCTGGTGAAAAGGTCACCTTCACGCGTGGCCGAACCCTGGAGAGAAGGGCAGCTCTCCAGCCCGGGCCGCGACGCGCGAAGCGCGATGAACGTCGCGCCCCTGGGCAGAGAAACAACACATAACATACGTAAACATAAACTCGTGGAGGCCCACGCGGAATCCTTGGACCGGCGCTGGCTGGACTCCCTCGTGGGGGGGCGGAGCGCGCCGGCCCCCACGCCGACGCGAGAACTCCCCGCGGCGGGGGCGACCCGGGTCTCGGACGAGGCCCGGCCTGCGTCTTGCTGGCTGGGCTGGGCTGCTGGCGGCTCGGACGTTGCTGAATGGAGGGCAATAAGTGGGGGGAGAAGCGAACACCTTGGAAGGGGCCCTGGGACACACAAATAAATGCACACAAATAAAAAGATTCCCCATGTTTCCCTACATTTTCTGGGCTTTTGTCTTCCCCACCACTTCCCATATTTTCCTATATTTCTGGGGGATCGACGATTAATTGTGCCTGTGTGTTTTTTTTTTCCCCTCCTGAACCTTGCGTGCACCTGTCTTCACCACCCCCTTTATCGCCCCCCGTTGCGCAACCGCGCGACGAGGCCAGCCAGAGGCCGAGCACTCCGCAAGTCCCCACGGACTCAGCAACCTCCGAGACCCAGGCCTTGGACGGGGCCCGCCCTGCGTCCTGCTGGCAGTGCGTGGGCCGCTCGCCACCGCCGCCCCGTGCGGTGCCGCTGCGTGGCCGCGGCGGCGCGAGCTGCCCACGGCCGCGCGCTTGCCTCCTGCGGCCGCGCGCTTGCCCTGTGCGCTTGTGCGGCCGCGCGCTGGTTGGAGGCCCGGGGCTCCGAGCAGCGCCCAGGCGCCGGGCGAGAGCCGAGGCGGTGGGCGGCCGCCAAGCCCCCGGCGGAGGCCGAACGCAGGGCAGCCGCTGGCCGGCGCCGAGCGGAGGCAGACCGCGCCCTTCGGTGACGCCGAGGTGGCGACGGTGGCCGAGCGCCAGGCGGAAGCCGAGCGCCAGGCGGGGGCCGAGCGCCAGGCGGAGGCTCGGCGCTCGGCGGCCGCCGCGTGCCCAGACGAGGCGCAGGCCACTCCCGTCCGCGACACCGACCTGCTGCCGCAACTCGTCCAAGCGCGCGGGGCACCCGCCTCTGCTGAGCGACCCGGCGGGCTGCTGCCGACCGAGCGCCGCCAATGGGTGCCGGAGCAAGGCGGCCCCTGGGACTGGCTGCACCGGCAGCCTGGACACTTGCCCAGCGTTTTCCAGCGTTTTCCAACGCACCCTGGACACCCTGCACGGCAGTTTTCCGGCGTCGGAATCGCGACTCCGCCGCCGGCGGCCATCCTTTCCTTGTCCCTGCTCACGCGCCGCCTGCTGCAAAGCACGCTCGTTCGCCCGGTCGCCATCCCCTGGACACGGTTGGGTGACGGGCCGGCCGTCTGGGGAGAGCGCGGCGCTCCTCTTCGACGGGGTAGCCGAGCGCCAGGCGGAGGCCGAGCGTCAGGCGGAGGCCGAGCGCCAGGCGGTGGCCGAGCGTCAGGCGGAGGCCGAGCGCGAGGCGGAGGCCGAGCGCCACGCAGCAGCAGAGCGCCGTGCGCAGGCCGAGCGCCGCAGTCGTTGGGCCCGTTCCTGGCCCCACCCCCGCCTGCGCTGCCCCGCTGCCAGCAGATTCAGGCTGCAGACGCTGGTGGGTGGGCTGGCCTTTCGCCTCGAAGTCACGCTGTGGCAGCCGATCTGGTGCTGCGCTCGGACTGGAGCTGCGGTGCGACGGCGATGGCAGGATCCTGATCGTGCGGCAGGTCTTGCCGCGGAGCCTGCTCGAGGCTTGGAACAGATCGCGCCCGTGGATCACCACGAGTGTTCTAATCTTGTGCCCCGGGGATACCCTGGTCTTTGTGAACGGCGCGGCCGGCTGCAATAACATGCTCCACGGATGCTTAAATGACCTGCTCCTGACGGATGGTCGTCGCGAGCACGGACCTGGTTGCTGCTGCGGTTGGGTGACGGGATGAGCCCTGTGCTGAGCACATCGTGACCTGGCATTCCCGGGCTGGCCCTCCGCCAACGCAAAATACATCTGAGCCAGACTCGTTTGGCAATTTCCCGATTAGTGCACCTCCGGCCCCGTCTCCTGTCCCATCGCGCAGAGTCGAGGACAGGACTCCATAGCAAGCTGGCTTCACATTTTTAGATGTTCGGCTGTTTCGATATGACGATCTCATCGCCCTGTCACGCTGGAGCGGCGAAGACGACCGCAGGCTCTCGCAGGAGTCGTCTCTTGTCGTCGTGTGTCGTCGTTGGTCGCCGTCGTGACTCCCGCTGAAGGTTCTAAACCGTGTATCAGCCATTCTCCGTCCCTCTCTCGCTCGCGCTTGTGCCACGTGCGTTGATGCGTCTTGCTGCTTTGCCATACATGCCCGCGGGAGAACGAGGCGCGTCTGCTATGTTGTCGCGAATCGTGCCGCTGCTGTTTGGAGGAGGCATTAAGGTGTCCAAGGCCAGTATGCCGGCAAGTCTGCGTCTCAGACGGCGGATTCCTGGTTCCTTCCCCTCCTTCCTCATCCTTCCCCCCCCGTCCGAACTTCTCCTTCCCTCCCTCCTCCCTCCCCTTCGCGCTCCAGACTCCGTGGATGTTACCAAACCTTGACGTTCTGGCGAGCTCTTGAAGCTCGCATTAGCCGAAGCCCGATCGCCCGTGTAGGCCAAGCTCCCTGATGAGTGATGATGATGATGATGATGATGATGATGCTGCTGCTGATGATGATGCTGATGCTGATGCTGATGCTGCTGCTGATGATGATGATGCTGCTGATGATAATGCTGAGTCTACAGAGGAGGAGAAGGAGGAGGAGGAGGAGGAGGAGAAGAAGGAGCAGGAGGAGAGAATTGCGGATAGGGGGGGTCGGAGTTGATTCTGCGCTCGCCTCGGCGATTCTCTGCGACTGGCGCCGACGCTGTCCCTCCACCCACCGTCGCGGGCGGAAGTCCCACCACACTGCTCGCGGATCTCCTGGGCGCCCGTGCTAAGTGTTCTCTCCGCTTCCGCTTGCCTCGGTCAGCACCTGCCTTGCGCTGCTTGGGGTCTGGCACTTGCTTTCATTCGTCTGGTTGCTTGGGCAACCTTTGATGGGGGGCGATAAATGGGGGCCCCAAAGGTCCCGTTTTGGGCCCTAAGGGGTCCCTTTTCGGAAGCACTCGCTGCCCCCCATGTTATCGCCCCCTCCCATTAAGCGCCCCTTGAAGTCGTGTGTGACATTCCATTGGGCGGCCAGAGGTCGAATCAGAGCCGCAATCCCAAATCCTCCAACTCCAGGGCCTTCGACCTATACCTACCTTTACCTTACCCCCCGCTTGCCCGCGCAACCACCACACTGGATCTCGAATCGCCACACCCGTCCTGGAGTTCTTCGAACCCCCTCCGTCTGCCAGCTCCCACACCCCAGAACTCCCACCTGCTCCTCTTGGATTTCCCACTTCCCCGCGCACACTCCTATCAAGCACACGCCAACATGGGTAGCAGATCCGTGGATCTGAGGAGGAGGAGGAGGAGGACGAGGAGGACGAGGAGAACGAGGAGAAGGAGGACGACGAGGAGGAGGAGGAGGAGGAGGAGGAGGAGGAGGAGGAGGAGGAGGAGGGAGAGGAAGAGGAGATCCGTGGATCTGGCACGTGGGCGCGGGGGTCAAGCAACCCCCGCGAAACCGTGCAACCAGTGCCGCCTGATCCGGCGACGGCGCGCGCCGGTCGAGGAAGCGGGACCCGTCGCGGATCCGCGCGCCCAGGCTCATGCTTGCGTTTCCCTGGTGGATGAAGGGGAGGTGGAATGGAGGATGAAGAGAGAGAGAGAGAGAGGGGGGGAGGACAGAGAGCGAGGGGGGGGCGGAGAGGCCCGATGAAGGAGCGTCCTCCTCCTCCTCCTCCAACTCCTCCTCCTCCTCCAACTCCTCCAACTCCTCCTCCAACCCCTCCTCCTCCTCCTCCTCCTCCTCCTCCTCCTCCTCCTCCTCCTCCTCCTCCTCCCTCTCCTCCCTCTCCTCCCCCGCCTCTTATCCTCTTCCTTCTCCGCCCTCCTCTGCTCTTCTCCCCCACTCTTCTCCTCCTCCCTCCTCCTCCTCCTCTTCCTCCTCCTCTTCCTCAGAAAAGGGGGCAGAAGGGATACGGATAGGAGTGGAGGTGTGACGGGAGGGTGGGAGGGGGCATGGAGGATCGCGAGGGGGGAGGAACGCAATGGCAAGAGGGAGGGGAGGAAAAGGACGCAGAAGGGGGGAATAAGGAGGAAGAAGGAGTAGAGGTAAGCTTGGTGCGCTCGCGCCATATCCGCAATCCTATCCCTCCCTCCCACTCCTTCCTATTCCATTGAGTTTGTTTGTTATTTATCTGCGGACGCCTGAAACTCCAACAACAATAACTCCCATCGAATGATTCAAAATCGGCAAAGGGGAACGGCGTACATAGGATGATGATGATGCTGCTGCTGATGATGATGATGAGGAAGAGGAGGAGGAGGAGGAGGAGGAGGTGGCGAGTGAGCAGGAGGCTGCGCAGGAGAACAGGGAGGACAAGGGGAAGAGGTGAGAGGGGAGAAGCTAAGGTAGGATGAGGCCAAACTTCGGCGGATGCCATGTCCATACGGATTAAGTCCACACGGAGTGCTCGGCCTCCGTCGGGGCTTCCTCTGTCTGCTGAGTCCATGCGGAGCAAGTCCATGTGGGGTGCTCGGTCTCCGTCCGGACCCACTTCGTCTGGACTCTGCCTCTCCCGACACCTGCGGCTCGGGCCGCGACTGGCCATCGCTCGGACGTCCATTCCCTGTGATTTGTTCGGTTTCGCGCGTGTTTCTTTCGCCAAATGATCAAGGATGCTCCTCGATGATCCTCGCCGAAAGAAAAGTGCACACGTCCGAGCGATGCCAAGCTAAAGGAGAGCAAAGTGAACCCCACCCTTCCCCTCAGAAATCGTGGGGGGTAGGGGCAGGGTTCGCACGTGGCCCCCTAGAAGAAGGAGAAGGAGGAGGAGGAGGAGGAGGAGGGAGGAGGAGGAGGATGGAGGAGGAGGAGGAGGAGGAGGGGGAGGAGGGGGAGGAGAGGCGGCGGAGGAGGAGCAGGAGGAGGTAGGAGGAGTGGAGGAGGAGAAGGTGGAGGAGGAGGGAGGAGGAGGAGGGGAGGAGATAGGCAGGTAGGAGGAGGAGGAGGAGGAGGAGGAGGAGGAGGAGGGAGGAAGGGGGAGGAGGAGGGGGAGGGGGAGGGGGAGGGGGAGGTGGGAGGGGAGAGGAGGGAGAGCAGGAGGCGGCGGAGGAGGAGGGGAGGAGGAGGAGGAGGAGGAGGAGAGGAGGTGGAGGAGGAGGAGGAGGAGGAGGGGCCCCCTACTATTCGGGGCCCCCGCCGCCGCCCCGCGCCCGGGCGACGGACGGCGGGAGGGCGCGGCGGCCGGCCTCGGGGAACGCTCCACGGCCTCGGCCGGCCGGGGGGCGTTTTCGGGGGCAGCGGGGCCACAGCGGGGGGCCCTCGCCGTCCTCGGCGTCCTCGGCGTCGTCGCCCCGCTGCCGCTGCGTCTGCTGCTGCTGCTCCTCCACCTCCTCCTCTGCCCCCTTGGCCTCGTCCTCTGCTCTTCCCTCCTCCTCCCTCCTCCTCCCCCCTCCTCTACTCCTCCCTCCTCCTCCTCCTCCGCCTCCTCCTTCCTTCCTCCTCTTCATAATCTTCATCACCACCACCACATTCACCACCACCATCACACATAATCACCATCACATCGCCATCGCCATCCGCATTCGTTCGTATCACCAACTTCACCTTGCATTCGTCCCTCCCTTTCATCACCATCATCATTCATTCAGTTGTCATCATCGTTATTCATTGCCTATCATTATCAGCATCCGTCGTGTCATCATCATCATCCTCCTCATCATCCTTCAATCCTCCTCCTCTTCCTCCTCTCCTCCTCCTCATCATTCTATCTTCATCATTCATCGTCATCACCATTCATAATCAGCATCCATCATCATCATCAATCATCACCACCAGCTTCATCATCATTCATCATTTCATCATGAATCAGCATTCATCCTCATACTTCTATCGTCATCCTCGCCCCCCTTTCCTTCTTACTACACCTTCATGGTCTCATTCGTTCCTCCCCCTTCTCACTCCTTTCCCCCTCCTTCACACTCGTCACTCGTCCGACGTCATGAGGAAGAGGAGAGAACACATGCTCTATCGCGACGGGGTGGGGAGTCTGTGGTACGTGTGAAGAGATGACAGGGGGCATGCAGGAATAAGCCAGGACAAGGATGCGTGGAAGGAATGCGGCCGAGGAGGCAAGTGATTTCATGGACAGCTGGTTGTGGGAGATGTAACACGGGCGTGATAGCGAAAGAAGAGAGAATGATGAGAAACATAAACTGTATACATAGGATAGGGAAGCGGAAACATAAACATGTATCATGCGTCGGGGAGGGTACAGCATATTACGGAAGGGCAGTGAGCACGGTGGAGGGATAATACAGGATACTGGCTGCGAAATCGAGGATGAGCGACAGGAGCAAGATGAACGAGGAAGGAGGAAGGAAGGCGGAAGGAGGAGAGGTACGATGTATGCATGTATATGTATGTGTATATTGAGAGAGAGAGAGAGAGAGAGCTATACACATATATTTTTTATTTATTTAGCAAGGGTTGCGCGAAGCGTCTCAAGACAAGTTTCGAAAAAAGGCGTGCGTGCCAAAAACGGGGGCGACCCCGTTTTTATCATTGACGGCGATCCACGTTTGTGGGAAGCCATCGGGCGCGTGCAGTGCACTACACCGTCCGTGGCGACGAGGGCCAACGGGGGACGACCCGACGCCAGCGAGACAAGCCGAATCCAGCCGCGACGACGACGGCCGCCAGGGCGACCCGGCACCAGCAATCCGAGCCGAATCCGGCCACACAGCTGGGCAACTAGTAAAAGCAATGGGAGGCCAGGAGCAGCGCTGGTCAGTGGACGCGTCGCTGCCATGGCACGGCGAGCATGGGCAGCAGGGCGGCCAGTGGGCAATCCTGCGCTCCGAACGGCCGCGGGCCGTTACGACAAACTCGGGCCATTAATTTATTGGCATGACCAGGCAGGCTGAAAACTCAGGCATCACTGGTCGTCTGGACCGATATCACATATACACATATATCCGCCACCGTGTCCTGAGGAACGCGTTGAAGTGCCCTCGGGTCCTTTGGACCTCCCCGTCCTGTCCTGCCTGCGTGAATATGGATGGGGCCCGCAGCCCAAAGTCCTGGATCTGCCGGGGCGTGGCGCGTGACTCGCGGTGCCCGCGTGTTGCCGCGTGACTTTATTCTGAGCCAAGGAAGCCCCAAGACTGGCCGAAAGAGGCCCCCAAGACGGTCCAGGAGGGCCCCCGAATCCTCCAAGATCGTCCAAGACGCCCCGAGAGGGCTCCAAGAGCACTTCCAAAAGGGCCCCGAGAGATCCCGAGGGGCCCAAATTGCTGTTGCTCCTAACATGTTCGATGGGTTTTAGCGTTCGCGCCTGTTCAGACTCGCGACGCTCCAAGACGGCCCAGGAGGCGCCTGAAGACGACCCAAGAGGCCACAAGAGGGCCCCCAGCCCCCAGACGGCCCAGGAGGCCCCCAAGAGGTCACCCAGACGGCCCAAGAGGACCCCAAGACAGCCCAAGAGGCCCCAAAGACGGCTCCAAGAGAGGCCCCCGAAGGGGAGCACGAACCGACATTTCGAGCCCTCCGACCCAAGACGACCTCCGAGACCGCCAGCAGGCCCGAAGAAGCCGCCCCGAAGCTCCAGGAGACCCTCAAGAGGCCCCTGAGAGGCCCCCAAGGCATATCAAAACCGCCTCCAGGAGGCTTCTGATAGGCCTCCCAAAGTATCCCACAGACATCCAAGAAGCCCCGCGCCTACAACCAAGGCACGGCGGCGGAATGGGCCGAACACATATGCATGCATATGTACATACACTCGCCATCGCTCGGACGTTCATTTCCCGTGCATTGTTCGATTTCGTGTTTTTTCTCTCTTCGTCTGGTGATCCAACATGCTCCCCGATGGCCCCCGCCGAGGAAAAACGCACGCCCGAGCGATGCCAATATATATATATATATATATATATATATATGTATATATATATATGTGTGTGTGTACGTATACATACATACATACATACATACATACATGCATGTATGTATGTATGTATGTGTGTATACATGACCATCCATCCATCCAACAAGCATCCATCCATCCATACATGCATACATACAACACGACATACATACATTCATGCATGCGTGCATCCATACATACATGCACACCGCCACTCATACATACAAAACACACACAGACACATACATACATACATACATACATACATGCATACATACATCCATACATGCATGCATGCATGCATACAGACATGCATACAACCATACAAACGTACAAACGTACATACATCCATACATGCATGCATGCATACATACATGCATACATACATGCAAACATGCATACACACACACTCGCACACACACATACATATCTACATACATGCATACATACATACATATATACATACATATATACATACATACATACATACATACATACATACACACATACACACACACATACATACATGCATGCATGCATACATACATACATACATACGTACATACACACATACACACATACATACATACATGCATACGTATATACTTTCATACATACATACATGCATGCATGCATAAATACATGCAGGCATGCATGCATACATGCATACATACATACGTACATACACACAAACAGACAGACAAACAGACAGACAGACAGACAGGCAGACAGACAGACCAGCATGCACATACCCACACATGCATACATGCATGCATACATGCATGCAGACATACATACATAGACATTCATACATGACTACATATATCAGGTAGGCATACACAAAACAGCTGCATTGTGTAACCAGCACGAGGCGGGAACGGCCATGTAGCTCTTTTTTGACCTCGTGATCGGCGTGCGACCCCATGGCCAAAGCGTCTGGCTGCCAGTCAGGGTAAAGCACGGGAGCTGTGATAGCGAGAGGAGGTATTACGCGAACGGGCCGCCTCTCGAATCAGCATGATTCGAAACCGTCGACATCCCTTCGGGCCTTGCCCTGGGGCCGAAAAGCAGGACTGGCCTCCCCACCGCGGCCGCGCAATTGGCCCAAGAGCCCCCTAAGAGGTCTCCAAGACAGCCCAAGGGGCCTCCAAAAGGTCCTCCAGGCAGGCCCGAAGAGGCCAACATCATTGATTGTCCTACGGTGTTTGAAGGATTTTCGCATTGTCGCCTTTTCGGCCTTCCGACTGCTGCCCAAGAGGCCCCCAAGATCGCCCCAAGATCGCCCAAGAGGTCTCCAAGATGAGGGAGCATGAAGGAGGTCGATTGCGATGGGTGGGTGCGTGGCAAGGCAGTTCCAACCTGGTGGCTGGCACTCCTCGCTGCATCGGCGGTGCATCATGAGGGGGAACTGGTGGCTGGCACTCCGTGCACCTGAGGCGAGGAATCATGGAACCTATGACTCAGAGAATCATAGATGCAACCTCGTTACCACCACGTCTTATTGGTTGTCCCGGTGGGCACGGGAGATTTCATAGCGAGAGGAGGCCTCGCGCAAAAAGGCCGCTTCTCCAGTCAACATGATCGAGACGATTGGAATCCCTTCAAGTCTTGTCCTGGAGCCCCATGGCTGGACGTGCCTCTCCACTGCAGCCACGCAGTTGCAACGAGAGGGTGGAGGAGGTGAAGTGCGGTGGACGGGGGCGGGGCACGGAAGCTTCAATCTGGTAGCTGGCACTTCTGGGCTGCATCGGCGGTACATCACAGGAGTGACCTGGTGGTTGGCATGCTGAGGACCTAGGGCGAGGACTCATGCGACCTGGGACTCAGGGTGAGGGCTGCATCTGTGTTCTGTGTGTGGGTGTTGTCATTTGTGTGCTGTGTGTTGTGTGTTATATGCGCTGAGCGTGTGATGTATGTGTCGTGTGCTCTGTGTGTTCGTGAGTGGTGTGTTGAGTGTGATGCGTCATGTATGACGTGTGCTGTGTGATATGGTGTGTGTGTGTGCATGTTCAATGTCCTGAGATCTGGGTGTATGTATTGTACGTCGGAGCTCGACGTTGGGAGGATATCTCAGGCGAAAGTGTCGTTTCCTGAGAATCGTGTTCGAAAAGGGCTCGATGTTGGTAGTGTGTCTCAGACGAATCTGATGTTTTAAGCATCGTGTTCAAAATAGGGCTCGATCTGGAAGAATGTCTCTGGCGAAACGGTCGTTGTCTGCAAATCGCGCTCAAATTTAATGAAATCCACGTAGTGTGTTTGAAGGTGGTGTGATAACAGGTGCACTGATAACGAAAGCAAATGTTTTGGACCTGCCGATCACGGTCTGCGTGAGAGGTGCCACCGATTTTCATAATGTTGACGATGGGCCTGTTCAGTGAAAGACGCCGGACGCATTCATCTTCCCTCGCAATTCTCCCTCGAGGACGTGCGTACGATACACGCATCTATGTAAGAACAAATAATGTACGTGCGTACACGACTGTATGAATGTACGTTTGCATGTCTGTGTGGATGTGTGTCTGCAATCATACTTACATACAAACAGACAGACTGACGTCTGATCTAGCTGGTCCAAATCATGTTGTGCAACAAATGTGGAGCAACATGTGTAGTGCAATATATGTGATGCTATACTTGTTGTGCAAAACAAGTTGTGCGAACTATGATGTACAGTATAGGTTGTACAATGTCTGTGGTGCGCAATGCAAAGCAACACAATGCAAGGCAAAGCAACTCAATTTGCAATGTGCAGCGATGCAAAGCCGTGCAAGCAGCGCACCGCAATAGACGACAGGCGGCGACAGGCAGCAACAGGCAGCGACAGGCAGCGACGTGGCGGCGACGGCGAGTACATAGCCGCCAGAGCGACACACCAGCACAGACGACGGGCGGCGACGAGGCGGCGACGGCGACTACGTAGCAGCCAGCACACTGGCCCAGACGTCGGGCGGCGACGAGGCGGCGACGGCGACTACGTAGCAGCCAAAGCAGCACACTAGCCCAGACGACGGGCGGCGACAAAGCAGCGACGGCGACTACATTGCAGCCAGAGCGGCATCGGGCGGCGACGAGCTGACGACGGGGCGGCGACGGCGACTACATAGCTGCCAGAACGGCACACCAGCTCAGTTCGGTAGAAAACAATCAGCAACCCCTAAGATCAAGCACCGTTTTGGGAATATGCACATGGACCTACATACAGACATCCCTCCCTCCCTCTCTCCCCTCCTCGTCCTCCTCCTCGCCCTCCTCTTCCTCCTCCTCCTCCTCCTCATACTCCTCCTCCTCCTCCTGCTCCTCCTCCTCCTCCTTCCTCCTCCTCCCCTATCCCTCTTCCCTATACAGAACTCCTCCCTGTCGTACCCCGAGGCCGGTCGAAAGGGCGGGCTTGGCGTTTCGCCTGCTACGGTCCCACCACTTATGATACTGAGAAATGCGCAACAGTTTTGCGGATGGGAGGCGGTCCGCGTTCAAAATGTGGTTCTCGCCTTCGCGCCGCGCACCTTCGTCTTTGAAATGTGATAGAGCTTCACGAATGGAGGGCGGCCCGCTTTCAAAATGTGGCTCTCGCGTGATCGCCGCGTACATGCGTTTTAAACGTTTGCAGAAACTTAACGGACAGAGGTCGACCCACTTTCAAAACGTGTGGCTTTCGCCTTCGCGCCGCGTGCATTGATCTTCACGCTTTGCAGCAATTGCACGAATGGAGGGCGGCCCACTTTCAAAATGTGGCTCTCGCCTTCGCACCGCGAACATTCGTCTTCAAAATGTGAAAAAGTTTCACGGATGGAGGGCGGTTCCTTTTTAAAATGTTGCACATTCGGATTAAGAGTTTGCAGCAGTGTCAAGCCACAGAAATTGTGTTTTGGCACAATGTGGACTGTCAGGGCGCAACGACCACGTTGATTCGCGGTGCTGAAATCCCAAGAACGGCGTTCAGGCACGATTCAGGATCGTCTGGACACAACAATAATGGTAACTGTCGCGGTCGAAGTCCCAGGAAAGGTACTCTGGCACAGTTTCGGATTTTCACACGGTTGTCTTCCAAAGGGCGATTTCCCTCAGTGAGCACGAATCCCTGTAGGAGCCTACGGAAAAGGGAACTTCTGGGAGGGTCTTGGGTTCACACTAGTCGTTGTCCTCTTCGTCCTCCTCTTCCTCGTCCTCCTATCCCTCCTCCTCCTCGTCCTCCTCCTCTTCCTCCTCATCCTCCACCTCCACCTCCACCTCCACCTTCTCCTCCTCCTCCTCCTCCTCCTCCTCCTCCTCCTCCTCGTGCTCCTCCTCGTGCTCCTCCTCCTCTTCCTCCTCATCCTCCACCTCCATCTCCACCTCCACCTCCTCGTCCTCCTCTCCACCTCCTCCTCCTCCTCCTCCTCCTCCTCCTCCTCCTCCTCCTCCTCCTCAAGGAGGGCACACTGAGGCCGTGACATCGAGGTCGCCAGTGGTGTAGGCGCGTCGCAAAGGCGTCACCGGCGCGTGGAGGGCTGGCGGCGGCGCCGCCGCCGGCGCAGGATCCGAAGGCGCGTGGGACCGGCCTCCCGGGTGGTCTGGGGCGACTGCTGCAGGGACGGAACCAATCCTCGTCCTCGTTCTCGTCCTCCTCGTCCTCCTCCTCCTCCTCCTCCTCCTCTTCCTCCTCCTGCTCCATTCCCGTATAGATAGCTCCGCCCTGTCGCATCCCGAGGCTGGTCGGCAAGGCGGGCCAGTCGTTTCGCCACAGTGTCCCCGCCATTATGATCCTGAATCTTGAAATTTGCACCAGTTTCACTGATGGAGGGCGGGGCGTTATCAAAATATGACTCTGGCATTGGCCCCGTGCACATTCGTCAGAAAAGTTTGCACGTGTCTCACGGATAGGGCCACTGGTTTTCAACATGCGGTTATCGCCTCAGCGCCGCGCGCATTGTCTTAAAATTTCCCAACAACTTCGCATATGGAAGGCGTTGTACTTTTCTCTCCCAAATGTGGCTCTCGCCTTAGCGCCGCGCACATTCGAGTTAAACGTTTGCAGCAGCTTCACAGATGGAACGCGGGCGGTTTTCAAAATGTGGCTCTCGCCTTAGCGCCGCGCATATCCGAATGAAACGTTTGCAGCAGTTTCAAGCGTCGTAGGTTGAGGGTTTCGTTTCCCAAGAGTGGCACTCTGGCACGATTGAAGGTTGTCAGAACGCAGCGGCATCTTTGACTCGCAGTGATGCAGTCCCAAAAACGGCGTTCTGGCGCGATTTTTGGGATTGTAATGACGCAGCAATCAATCACGTTGATCCGCGGCGGTGACGTTCGAGAACGCGTATTTTGGTACGATCGACGGATCTCAAACAGTTTTCTTCCAATGGGGCGCTTCCAGCGATGACAATCAATTTCTGTTGGGGTCAACAAAGAACGAGCTTGGAGAGAGGGTTTGCTGCAACAGTATTTATGCGTTATTTATCATTGTCCTCCTCCTCCCCCCCCTCCTCCCCCTCCTTCTCCTCCTCCTCCTCCCCTTCTTTTAATTTTTCTCCTAATCACTCCCGCCACTCTCTCCTCCTCTCCCTCCTCCTCTCCTCCTCCTCTCCCCTGCTCCTCCTCTCCTCCATACTCCTCCTCTCCTCCTCCTCCTCCTCCTACTCCTCCGCCTCCTCCTCCTCATCCTCCTCGTCCTCCACCACCTCTCCTCCTCCTCCACCTCCTCCTCCTTTTCTACTCCTCCTTTTTCTCCTCCTCCTTGTTCTCCTCCTGCTCCTCTTTTGCTCCTGCTCCTTTTTCTCCTCCTCCTCCTTTTTCTCCTCCTCTTCCCCTTCCTCCTTTCTCTCGTACTCCTTTTTCTTCTTCTCATCATTCTATTTTGTTTCCTCCTTTTTCTGCTTTTTCTCCTCCTCCTCCTCCTCTCTCCTCTTCTCCTCCTCTCTCCTCCGTCCTCCTTCTCTCTTCTCTCCCTCCCTCTGTCCTCCTTCCCCTCCTCTTCCCCCTCCCCCCTCCCCCCAAGCCGCAGCGTGAATGCTTTTTGCTTGGCAACTTGGTACGAGATGTTCGTGCGCGAGGGTGGCCCAGGCCAGGAAGAGCGTCGCCCTCCTCTCCCAACCCGCCGCCCGGCGGTCCGACGCCGGCCTGCGGCCGCGGCTGCAGCAGGAAGCGGGCTGTTGCATCCTCGGGGGACCTTGTCTGTCCCGTCGCGGCCCTGTCCGCGTCGAATGCGTGTCGAATCCATGTCAGACGCGTCGGACCCGTGTCGAGTCCGTGTCGAATCCGCGTCGAATCCACGCCAAATCCGCGTCGAGTCCGCACCGAGCCCGCGTCGGGCCCCCCAAAAGACACAAATTTTTGGGACAGGCGAGGTCCCACGAAGATGCAACAGAACCTGCGGCCGCGGCTGCAGCAGGAAGCGGGCGGCCCGGCAAGCAACGGCCAAGGTCAGCTCGGCTTCCTCCAGGTCGTCGAGCGCCGCTAATCGGCGATGGACAGACCACCCCCTTTAGTAAAACGTGGTTTAGTGAAAAAACGACCTGAGGCCCACCCCTGGCGGGCGCAGGCCTGGAAAATAACGGCCACAGCGCCCTCTCGAGAACCGAAAACGGACAATTCACTGATCGACGTGTCACCGTTGGGGGCTCTGTCCACCTCCGAGCTGAGCCGGTGCGGGCCCGCACCTCCGCGAGGCTCCGGGCCCAGGAGCCCACCCGAGCCGCCGGCGCCAGCTGGCAGCGCCTCGCCGCAGGTGGCCGCGGCGGCCGCCGTGCTCGTCGGCGGCGTGGCCCAGAGCACGGCGCGTGCGCCTGCCGGGGAGGCGGTGCCGCAGGAGCAGCGCTGCCGCCCGTCTCGCGGGCAGGCGCGGCGGGGCCTCCTCCGCGGGCAAAGCCGCTGGGCGCTCGAGGAGGGCGGTCGCGCGCCGCGCCGCGCTGGCGCTGTGGCCCGTGGCGTAGCCCGTCGTCCCCAAAGGCCACCTGGCGCTCGTCCCCCGCGTCCCGGAGGTCGAACGGCGGCGGCGCGGCCACCGGCGCGCCCGCCAGCGCGACGCCCTGCGGGGGCCAATAGCTCTCGAAGCCCGGGGTGCTGGCCGCGCCCGCGGACAGGCTTGTGCTTTGGCGAGCTGCAGCTCCAAGCCGAGGGCCCGCAAAACCCGCTCGGCGGTGGGCAGCACCTGGGCCGCCAGCGCGGCCGGAACCAGTGCGGCGGTGTCGTCCAGGTAGACGAGGACTCCCCCGAGTCCACGGACGATCAAGTAGGTCTTGCGGAGATCTCTGGCTGCTGCCGCTTGGTCGGCCTCGCCAGCCAGGGTAGTCCATTGGTGCTCGCGATCAGCGACCAGCGCCTTGGCCTTCTCGGCTTGGGCGAGTCGCAATGGATGCAGTGCTAGGGCTTCCGCAACTCGAGCGCGGAGAAGCTGGGCGTGATGAATCCATGACGGTGCTCGTCATCCTGCTGTGCACTCGACACACTGCGCGATCTCCAAGCAGAGAACCACGCACGCAGGCGCACACCTCGGCAGTGCCAACGAGCATCGCGTAGGGCACCCTTCAATGTCCACGCGCGCTGCATGAGCTGCCACGCGTGCTTGCTAATCCAATGCTTGCGAGGTGCGTCGCCGTCTACTGTAATGATGTTCTGAACCATCTCTGTCATGCTCTGGTTCAGCTGCTGCAGCTTCTCGTGCGGGCGACCCCATAACGCGAGATCATGATCCCCAAACCGCTGCTGCAGTGCGAGTTGCAAGTGTGGATGCTTCAGCTTGGCTCTGCAAGCCTTTGGGGTCTTTGCTTCCAGGGGTCGGTACCGCTTGTTCACGATGAGGATGGTGATGGTAATGGTGATAGTGATGGTGATGATGCTGCTCATGATGATGACGACGACGACGACGACGATGATGATGATGATGATGGTGGCAGTGATGATGATGATGATGATGATGATGATGATGATGATGATGGTGGTGGTGGTGATGATGATGAAGAGGAGGATGAGGATGGTAATGGTGATGGTGACGGTAATGATGCTGCTGATGATGATGACGATAATGATGGTGGCAGTGAAGATGATGGTGATGGTGGTGATGATAATGACGACGATGATGGTGATGAGCATGATGAGGAAGAGGAGGGACGAGAAGGAGGAGGAGGAGGAGGAGGAGGAGGAGGAGCTATGATGATGAGGAGGATGGTGGTGGTGATGATACTGATATCGGTGCTGCTACTGCTGATGCTGATGCTGATGCTGATGCTGATGATGCTGATGCTGATGCTGATGATGTTGATGATGATGCTGATGATGCTGATGATGCTGGTGATGATGATTATGATGCTGCTGATGCTGCTGCTGATGATGATGACGACGAACGGTGAAAAGCGAGTGGGGGAGAGTGGAGTTGATGAGGGAGGATGGGAGAAAGAGATGAACGGTACCAGCTTGGGAGGGCGGGGACGACAGAGTGCGAGGAGAAGTAGGAAACAGTGGGCACACCACACATTTAACTGAAAGGGGTGAAGCAGAAGACGGAGGGCGGAAATACGAAGAGAGGAGTCGAAAATAAGCGCGAAAACCCTCCAGGTCTTTATACAGGCTGGCGCCCCTCCGACTCCTCGTCCTCCTCGTCCTCCTCGTCCTCCTCGTCCTCCTCGCCGTCCTCCTCCTCCTCCTCCTCCTCCCTCCTCCTCCTCTTCATCCCAGTTCTCCTCCTCCTCCTCTTCCTCCTTCCCTCCTTCCTCCTCCTCCTCCTCCTCTCCCGTTCTCCTCTCCTCCTCATTCTCCTCCTTCATCCTCCTCCTCCTCATGTCCCCGTACTCCTCCCAGTCCTCCCCCTCCGCCTCCTTCATCCTCCCCGACCCCCTCCTCCTCCTCCTTCCTCTCCTCTCCTCATCCTCCTCCTCTCCCTCCTCCTCCTCCCCCTCCTGCTACTCCTCGTCTCCCTCCCCCTCCTCCCCCTCCTCCTACTCATCGACTCCCTCCTCCTCCTCGTTCTCCGTTTCATGTCCATCGGGAAGATAAAAGTTGGCCAAAGGCGCCAATGCCTCCAGCGGCCGCCACCGCGCTGGGCGTCGTCGGACGCACCGCGGCGGGGGGCTGCAGCCCAGAGGCAGCCTTGTGGCCAAATGCGGGGCCGAGTGAGGTGGGAGGAGGACGACACGAACAGGAGCAAGAGGAGGAGGAGGAGGAGGAGGAGGAGGAGGAGGAGGAGGAGGAGGAGGAGGAGGAGCAGCGGCAAGGGAAGGGGGATGCATAAAACCCATCGTGTGGGCCCTTCCTGGGGCCATGTTGGGGTGGTTTATCGACCCGTGTGGCAGCACATGGCGTGGACACCCCGATGCCACTGCGTGGCCCCAACGCCCGACGGGGCGTGCTGAACTGTGAACGAACTGGGTCGTCTGCGAGCGAAGCACGGGTCCGCCACGAAGCTGGCCAAATCCCAATCCTGTATACCGTCGTGGCCCGTTAATGCGTGCAGCGTGGTGCCGGAGCTTGGCGGTGGGGGATGGGGGAGAAGGGAGCGAGGACCGAGGAGGTACAGTCGAGGCGTTGACCTAAGGAACCCTAAATAAGGAACGAGGCCCCTATTTTCCATAAGTTGAACTTCGATTTCGCATCGAAAACCTAAAAAGAAAATCCAAGGCAAGCTGCGAAACAATTAACGAACACGGAGCCCCTCCCCAACGAAAAGGGCTCCTTCTTCAGGGCCCCGACTGTAGGAGGAAGGATACAGGATGACGAGATGGAGGAGCATGGATGCTGCTGATCATGAAGAGGAGATGTCGCTGGGCAGAGTTATACCACCGATCCGACCGAACCATGGCACACAAGTGGCTTACGCGAACGTGGCTCTGTGGCAACAAAACCTTCCGCACGCGCAGAGACCAGCACCATCATGATCGATCAGCACACCCACCAGTGAGAAGGATTGGTCTTCGCCATGCATGCGCACTGGTAGGCATGAGCACAAGGCTCACATACGCCCCACGCGAACCACATCACCACGCGACCGCTGCCACGCAATGCGCTGCCACCAGTACTTCCTTGTACTCCTCGCCTTGATCCTTCTGCATTCGTTAGCCCTTTCCTGGTCGAGGAGGAGGGCCAGGAGGAGGGAATGGGCAGGAGGAGTGGAAGGGAAAGAGATGGAGAGCCCCCGCCACCACCGCTCCCACATGGCAGGCTGTTACGGCCAGGCAGGGGCGGGGAAGGGGGGGGTCAATCAACCCATCAATTGTTCTTCCTCCGCAGCATGCTCCCAACTTCGCGCTTCGCGCTCCGCGAAGCGCGAAGCGCGAATAACTTCGCGCTCTCGCGCCGCCCCCCC